ATCTAAGTTGAACTATAAATTAGATTAATCATCTATTTGTTATTTCCATGTGAACCAAGCTAATAGAATTAATTTAAAGTTATTGGTAGTAAGAAGCTCTAAACCAAATCAATAATATAAAAAAAATGCTTTAATTAATTATTAAAAAAATACTTAATATTTAAAGATTAATAATAAGGCCAAAAAACGTTTCACATATTGGATTATAATAGCATTTACCATCATCTAATTCCTATCTTAAGAACTGGGGGTGTGTTGCAAGTCACTATGGACGGTTTTCAACACCTAGACCGTCTCGTCTACGAAGCATTACAATAATATGACCATAACGTAACGATATCTCGAAGCGATTAACGTCATTCGGGTTGTGAATGTGTATACTATAGTAGAATTAACAGAGAGCAAATTTTCAATACAATTAGTTAAAATACAAGGTATTCAATTTAGAATACTTGAATTTAGTGGAACTCGACCCAGTAAAAGTGTGTACGGTAAACATAGAATATTTTAATAACAGAAAATATTATAAGTGACCATAGAATTTCATATAACACTGCATCCAGATTCCGGCAGGCGTTTTCGATAAAGACAAGCTTACGTTTACGGGCAGCTACATATTCAATCTAGCATTAGTCGTATAGCAAGGATGTATTGTGTGGGTTTCTTGTCGTAGTCTGTATTCAGGTCAAACTCAAAAGACGTTTCAAATTCCACGGCCCTAGAGACAAGTTCAAATCTCAGTATTCAGACGCCAAATAGAAAATTGAATCACTTAGAAATCTTATTTGGTTTGCGTTGTTAATCGATTGATTGATTGCCTTTAGCCCAGAGGGCTTGCCGTGAATTTGCTCAGAAAGTCTACTGGCGGTAGGGCGTCTTGTGAGCCCGCACGGGTAGGTACCACCGCCCTGCCTATTTCTGTTGTGAAGCAGTAATGCTTTTCGGTTTGAAGGATGTGGCAGCTGTTTTGTATAAAAAAAAGAGACTTAGAACTCATGTTTCAAGGTGGGTGGGTGCTTTTACGTTGTTAACAATAAATAATTAAAGAATTAGTCAACTAGAGCTACCGTAGATTGAGGAGAACGGTATCCTAATCTTCTGATCCACAATCGAAACAATGAACAGTCTAGCTTGCAAAAGTAAACAAACGCTTTTCTAGGAGAAAATCTTGGATTAATTACATATTTGATTGCTGGATAAACAAACTCACGGCTCACCAACTTTCGTGGCTATTAGATCTTATTATGACCACTAAAAGGGCCGTTGTTTTGTATGTCTCTACAGACAGTTGATATAATAAAAAGAAATTGTTTTCCAGTTGCGGAAAAACTAGCCGAACGTCCAATAAATATGGACATCAAAATTAAATAAAAGCTTGCGGCTCTGTTTCAACGTTTAAGCTAATTATAGATAATTTGATCTGTATAGTTTGTACATAGAAACTGAACTAATTAATATGAGGTACGAACCGTTTTACGTTCGACAAACGTCCTTGCTTTCAAAAAAAGTTGCACAATGCGTTCGTTGCTATGACAACGAGAAAACATTGCTTGATATACATTACGTGGCTATAACCGTTCAATTTCAATAATACCGTTTCAAATCAGCATTAGAATAGAAATCACCTGAATTAAATATTTTTTTGATATAGCAAAATATTTAGTATTTATTTTATCGCCTAAATAATTTAGTCTTGCGTTAATATCTCTCTGTAACTTACTAATGACAAATGTCAATGAAATTACGCTGTTACAGATGTTTTTTTCTGTCGTAAGCGAGTCATCATTGGTAGCACTTAATTTGGCTACGTGATCTTTGAAGTGAAATATTATAGGTAAATAAAGATAGAGTGGAGATTGTTTGCAAATAAATTCGGATTTTACGTCCGTAACGTAATAAGTCTGAAGGTCATTCTCTAGTCCAGGGTGGATTGTTACATAAAATGACACACACACATTGTCGTATTTATTATAGCACAAATACCCGGTGTGGTGTCAATTAGCATCATAAAGATTATGCTATGTGCTAATCTAAGATATAAACTACATATGTGACAAGTTTCATCAAAGTGCGTTTGGTCATTTTTGTGTGATTGAGTAACAAGCATACCAACTAACAGACATTGATATTTGTTACAAGCCTCTTTTTAATCTGGGTGATGGCACTCACATAAGTATAAATATAACGTAGAATATTTAGTATAGATTGATAGTATTGAAACAACAACTTTTCTCTATAAGTAATCTATATCTATAAAAATGAACTGCTATTCGTTAGTCTCGCTAAAACTCGAGAACGGCTGGACCGATTTGGCTAATTTTGGTCTTAAATTATTTGTGGAAGTCCAGAGAAGGCTTAAAAGGATTTTAGATTTAGATTAGATAAATACGAAAATGCTCGGAATTAAATAAAAATAACAATTTTGTTTTTCCTTTCATGTGTCCCCCGTCGGACGGATTCCTTTTGTTTGTTTTAAGATTATTTTATACAAAAGCTTAGGTCTTTTATTTATCGATTGAGGCACTACGAAGTCTGCCGGGTCAGCTAGTACGATATATAATTACATGTACAATTTGTTAAGTATTCAAAACGTCGGAAATAATATTAATAATAATATAACAAATGCGAAATTAAACCGTAAAATTAGTTTTACTTATGTCTTCGATACGCGAAAACCTAACCTATATCATTAAGTATTCGAAGAGTTCGTGCGCCATCTATCGTAATTTGATGACACTATTAATCTTTCGTAAAATACCAACCACAACTGCACGAAGTGTTAATTCAATCATGTAAAATACGTGAGCACACAGACCACATACAAACACACCATCTATATAGGTCCTTAGAGGTCGGACAAATAGTTGACCGCGAGGTTTAGATTCTTTTCAACGAGAATTAGAATAGGGGTTCTCTATTCCTTATTATTATTTTCTCTCTAACTAATGGGGCTATGCCAACTTTTTATTTATTTATTTTTATTTCTTAAATGGGTGCACGAGCTCACAGCCCACCTGGTGTTAAGTGGTTACTGGAGCCCATAGACATCTACAACGTAAATGCGCCACCCAAAAGATATAAGTTCTAAGGTCTAAGTATAGTTACAACGGCTACCCCGCCCTTCAACCCGAAACGCGTTACTGCTTCACGGCAGAAATAGGCAGGGTGGTGGTACCTACCTGCGCGGATTCACAAGAGGTCCTATCACCAGTACAAAATTTCGCGCGGTCCGGTAGTTGAGCTCACAGGCTCAACCTAAAAAAATTGCGAACACTAACCCTAGTGAGAGCAGTACTTTGCTGAATCTACTACCGGATCGGAATCGCGATCCACTGAGAAGATCCGGCGAGAAACTCAGTGGGTTAACTCCTTATTACTATTCAGCACAAGGCTAACTCTCCGAAGTATCGTGGTGTCTTGTTACTTAATAACTGTTACTGATGCTGGATACGCCAAATACTAATAGGTATACTTCATGAGGGTTCAGAGCGATCCTTAGCTTTTGCAAAAATCTACATAAACAATAATAAGAACCGGTCCCATATATCCTGCAATATCAACAACATCCAAAACATCTGCCAATGCCCTGTTGGTTAGTATCTTGGTCGTTTATACAAGCTCCCATTTCTGAACAGTTTTCAGTACAGGCAATAAAATACTTTTTTTCATATCATTCTCCGGAGGTTGACAGTCAGAAATTCCTTTATAGTAGATTGGATTGTCATAGATATTTTTTTTATCTCTAATACTGTCTAATTGTAGGCATAATTGCGTTCCACAAACCATATAACTGTGGCTTAGATTGTCTAGCTTTCATGTGATACATTTAGTGGTATTTCTCTAAAGAAGTTTGTTGTAGATATTCAAGCTACTTTTTTACTTTTCCTAACGCTGGTTTGTACATCTCCATCTCTTGGCCGCGCGATGTTATCGTAAATGAATGCTAACAGACAGGTACCTAACAGCTAAATTCGGGTCATTCGCTGCACCCAGTATTTACAATAAAAACGATCTGAAACACTTTGGAGAGAGCTCGATTGTTGCATCAGTATGACAGTGAAAACGTATTCTTACGTAACGTTGCTGTACTTGTAACAAGCAACAAGCAACCGGTTAATGTCAATGTGGTCTGATTTTCATACTCGTTGATATTTAAAGAAGCCGAATGATTCAATTTGTTTCTCTTGGGATCGTGTAACCTGTTTGCTGGCAAATCAGTACTTGGGTCCCTTGTGGTATCATTGTTATGTGTTATTGGCATGGATTGCGCCCTGCGTATTTGTCTTGTCTCAAGGTGGGTATCAGCATTAACGTTGATGTCTATGGGTTCCGTTAACCCCTAAATACTCGGTAGGCTTACATGATGCTATTCCTTCGTCGTGTATATGTTTTATGTACGTATTCCAATAGACACCGGTGCAGTCGTATCACTGGTTACGGGCGTGTTGTCCTTTAGGCCACGATGACTTCACAATAAGCGGGAGCTTTTATTTAACACGTTGATTGTGTCGTCTCTTGCATCGAGCGAAAGAACGCGGCTTTAGCTGCTTCAACAGACAGTCGCGCATGGGGATTTTTAACTCGCTTAACGCAGTCAACGTGTTAAAAAAAGCACGCCTTAAAATGTTCTCTGGGAGGCGCCGCGTGTCTGGTTGTATGTTGACCGCGGGAACCTCTCTACTCTGACCGGATTTTGACCCCGGACTGAGATCGGACGTCGGGTATAAGAGTGCAAGGGAGTCGTTTAGTGCGATAGGGCCCTAAAATTCCTTGGGCCCGCGGTCTGCTCCCAAGAGCTTGCAGATCGTCAAGTCCCACATACCCCGCGCGCCCCCTAGATGCAGGGATCCCGGTCCCGGGCTCAAGGGCACCCGGCCCGAAAAAAAAAGAGGCCTTAAAAATGTTCTCAAGTCTACAGGGTATGCAGACCTCGGAGCGCCGTAAAGAAAAAGTCATATCGTTAATTACATTTATTGGTGCATACTGTCGAGTTATTGAGTTTATGTGCCGTAAGTCCCTCTATATCGGTTGTCCAGACTTCCGTAAGTAGGTCTGTACCGCGGAGTGCGCTGAGACCAGGGACTGCGCCGATTCTTGTAGCTGGAGCACGCGATCAAGCTGTTCATGGCTGGCGGACGAGACTTCTCCACGCTTATTCCGCAACGGCGACTGTGGATATGTTATAGACCATTTTAATTACACTTATTATTTAATGAGCTCTTACCACGATTTTCTCACATCATGAGTTCTTGATATTTGAGCGTTGCCGCAAGCGCCTACAGTAGACTGAAAACTGCGGGTAGGATGTTAAAAGCAAATAAAACTGACTACCCTCTTTGCTGTTCATTTTTTGGTGTTACCACTGAAACTCGTAGACCCGCTGCGACATTTTGAAAGTTTTTAAAATTTTATTTTCTTATTGCTTAGATAGAAGAGCCCACGGCCCACCTGGTGTTAAGTGGTTACCGAAGGCCATATACATCTATAACGTAGATGCCGCCACCCACCTTGAGACATGAGTTCGAAGGTCTCACTTAGTACAGCTGCCCTGCCCTTCAAATCGAAACGCATTACTGTCTCACGCAGAAATAGATGTGCAGGGTGGTGATACCTACCCGTGCGGACTCACAAGATGTCCTACCACCAGTAAAATAAATGATGAGGATATGATCTCACCTGATCTGATATGATCTGCAGGATCTGAACAAACGCACGTTCGCATTTATATTTTTTGTACGGATTATATCATATAATAGTATATTATTGTTCATGCACTAAAATTACTTAAAAAATGTGCAAAGAATAACAGCTCATTTTATACCAAATTATATCGCCTTTACTTTAATATTAGCAAATTAGAACTACCTTTTACGTCATAGTAAAAACCGTTTTTTTTTCCTACCTATGCTGATAGCCTTGAGAGGCTATTTCAGCTTCACCCTAACGTTTGTAGGTGAGCTCACGGGGCTCAACCGGAGAGTTGCTAACATTGACCCTAGCATGAGCAGTGCTTCGCAGAATCTACCACCGGATCGGAAACGCGACCCATTGAGAAGATCCGGCGAGAAACTCAGTGGGCTGTGTCTATGGGTTAGTTCGCTCGTCGAGCCCGTCGGGTTCGACGAGGACGGTGACCGGAAAAAACCGTAGTAACCGTATAACGTATAGTTCACCATTTTTAGTTTACTACTAAATACTATTTAAATATGGAACTCAAATTGACGGAATACTAGAATGTTTTCCAATTGCATATATTTTTCAGTGCATAGAGCATAGAGAGCATAAAGCATAGAGACGCCGCTTCGAATTATTTTAAACAGATCAATACTCGTAAAAGACGTAACGTATGTTTCATATATGAAAGAAGAAAAAAAAACGGTTTTGCCAGAGCTGTCCAAGTTGGATGTTTGCCAAACTAATTACCTCGTCGTTCTCTTCTGATTTAAAGTGAACTTGTCTCCGACCAGTACACTCTCGTCCAAGGTCCCGTCGAGTTGTAGCAAGTCGCCCGACGAAACCGAAACGTCCAAAGATCCAGTATGATCCCAAATCCACACGAACATTAACACCAGCACCATCTAAAGAGCGTTAACACATTGCTTGCTACGAGGATTTCGCCTCAAAAATATTCCATTGCGGGCTTAATTGCACATTTGGCATAGCCGCCCATTCAGCATATTTAAGGATAGATTTTCTTTTCGGTAATGAAGTGCAGCACTAATATAGGATTAGTGTATGTCAGAAGAGACTCGGAACACCAAATATTAAACGACTGACCGGGAATTGAAATTGGAACCCAAGATGTCGTAGTTAGGGTTAATATTCGCTAAACTAACAAATCAATTGAATCATTAAAAATTCATCCACGATTTTAAGCTCAGCCGCATATTGTCCGTTTTAAGCCGGTGATTTTTTATCGTACGTGAGATATGATACGTATATGTTTTTGGTATGAGGTTGCAAATCAAATTGACGAAAAATTGAGAGCTCTTTTGTGCTTTGCTAAAAAGATGTTACATATTTTGAGATCTTTAATATTTCACTTTGACATTCTAGTTATCAGGTTTTCAATGCCTACATACATTTTATTATATAATATCTCTTTTTAAAAGTCTGATAAAAAATCTGATAACTGAAATATTATCAGAGTCCTATAATTAGTCCCTAATAATTCTGTGAAATAATTCAACAAAATACTTGAGATTAAATTTTTTGAAAATTTAACAAGTAAACACTTATTACTTACGACGATAACGTGTGTCGTGAATATGAATAAAGTCGAGCCCCGGAACTTGATGGAATCGTACAGGAGACCGGAGACCGTTGGCCCAATGAAAGCTCCGAGAGCGAAGACCGACGTCCACATCCCAGACACCAGACCATACGTCTCTATGGAGTTTGGTAGACCACTAGCACTAAAATCATAAAGAAAATATAAGTATGAAGTCTTTTTTTGACGTGACAACGTCTTATAATTCGATCGAGCCGGCTGCATGCACGAAAAACATGATTCATGAGGCGTTCCATTTAAGGCTTGAAGTGCAAGCGAGAGCGCGCAACGAGCGGCAAAGAGGCACAGTCGGCCTCCGCGTTCGGCAGCGTTCGACATCTGTCTCTCTCCTACTTGAGTGAGCGATGCATCCGCGTGGACAGCTGCTATACAATAATACATTTACATGTTTTCGTCAAGTAAGAAGTTCAGTGAAAAGTGAATGTGGTGTCAATTGTTTATAGCAACGATAATTGCGATAATTGAAAAATGAAACCATTCCATCAGTATTTTCTTATGACGTTGTCACGTTCAGCTATCGTCAGTAAACCGACTATACAGACAACCGATTTTTTTTCCCTACCTATTCTGATAATCTTGAGTGGCTATATCAGCTTTACCCTAGCATGTAAGTGTGCTCAAACCTGACGACGTTGCTAACACGAACCCTAGCAAGAGCCGTGCTTCGCAGAACGGATCGGAAACGCGACCCACTGAGAAGATCCGGCGAGAAACTCAGTGGGCTGTGTCTACAGGTTAAGTCTTCTATATATACTATCTGCATCTAAGTTCTCGCTGTTTGTCAATAGATAGCACTGATAAGTGCTGATCGATTTTGAGCGATCTAAAACATTGTTAACCAAGCTTAGACAGGTGTAAACAAACAAAGCAATAAAAATAAAAGTTTGACACATTGTCTATATCACTTGGTTGTGTGAAAATGTCTCATTTTGTACCAACTAAGCTTAATTTTGCGGAAAGATTTGCCTTTCACTTGAAAAAAAACGGCGACCGAAACTCCAATGATTACAATATACATATATATATGTATTATTGTTTCTCTTTTTGTGTTAAATTTCGTGTTTATCTTAATGATTTCACGATGTGTTTCTAAATCAACAATTTATGTTCACTAAGCCGCTAGTAACATTCAGCATCAATCGACAATTTAATTCAAGACTTGCTTAGTATAATTCTTTAGGTTTTTTTTTTGGAGTGCAAGTTCATTTTCGAAGATAGCTGCTTTGTATAAATGATATTTGTATATGTTCAAAATGTAGCTCACATAGATGTGTTCAGGGCATCGGAGAATGATGCCACCAGTTGGCTGCCGATCCCGAGGCCGTGAAACACTAAGCCCATCACGGTCACCCATAATATACTGAAACAATATAATGACAATAATATAATATATAATGAATAATAATAGAATATAACAATAGTATAATGGAAATAATAACGACGAAAATATAAAAAAGTTTGAGCAGTATAACTTCTTTTTAGATTATAATGTGTGGACGAGCTCACGAGCCATCTGCGTAGTGTTAAGCCCATAGACATCAACAACATAAATACTTCCACCCATCTTGACATTTTAATTCAAGTCTCAGTTTTATATTACAACGCCTCACTATTCACGACCTCACTATTCAAATCGAAACGCATTACTGTTTCACGGCAAAAATAAGCAGGGTGGTGGTACCTACCCGTGCGGACTCACAAGACGTTCTGTCACCTACCTTTCAAGTAGTTTTTATCATATACCTAGTCTTGCCATAAATACTGAGACAAAGGAAAAAAAAATTATATTGTAAATAACATTTATTACTTTTACAGTGTGTTAGTTTAATACATAAATATAAAACAATTTAAAGTATAAAAAGCTTATTCGAAGTGGTCTCCATTGGCTGCAATACAGTCCTTTAAACGAGGCCAGTTATCAATAGAAGCACGCACTCTTTCCATGGGAAAAATTTTCACTGCCAATCGTACGGATTGTTTTAGGGACTCCAAATTATCATGGCGTTTAGAACAAGCCGTACTCTCTAAAACTGACCATAAATCATAATCCAGCAAATTAAGATCGGGACTAGACGACGGCCAGTCTTCAGCTCTGATGAAGTCCGAAACGTTTGTTTCCAACCAAAATTGCGTAGACCGAGCTTTACGACCTGGCGCCGAGTCTTGCTGGAAGGACCATTCTTGATTATTGAACACGGTGTTGTTAAGGGGCTTCACTACCTTCTCAAGAATGGTATCTTGATACGCTTGTGCCGATGTTTTGATACCTTTTTCACAAAAGTATGGCTCAGTCACTCCTTCATAGCTAATACCCCACCAAACCATCACTGAAGTCGGATAGAGCCCACGTTGCACTCTGTCGACTAATTGGGAAGCTTCCTTAGAGCTTTGAGCATAAATACGGTCATTTTGTTTGTTAAAATGTGGCTCAATTGTAAAAATTTTCTCATCCGTAAACAAAATTTTTCTATGACCTCCCTTTGCGTACCGCTTCAGTAGTTGTTTCGATTTTACTACCCTATTCTCTTTTAAATTATCAGTTGAGAAATGACCAGTACGTCTCTTATAGGCTGCAAGTTCTAAGTCATCTTTTAAAATACGCGACATGGTTCTAGGTGCTATCTTCATCTCCCGAGATAAAATCATTTGCTTTCGGACAGGATTTTTTCGAATTCTTTCCCTTACTGCTTTGACCACCTTTTTCGTACGAACACTACGTCGACGGCCAGATATTTTTCTGTCACAAACAGAGGAGGTCTAATCGCACCTATTAATAGCCCGGTACACAAACATTTTACTAATATCAAGCGTATGGAGAGTTTTAAAAATTGCATTTGGCTCCATACCTACTTTGTGTAATATGCAATCACAGCGATTCGGTTCTCTTTATTACTCCACTCCATTTTAATATCGCAAAATATTGTACAATGTATTGGCGCCAAAATGAGAAAACTCAATGAGCAATCATATAAAAATGACAGATTCCAAATTCAAATGTAATATTTTGTTTATTTTTAATTGTAACACTATTTATGGTCAGACTAAGTAATGAAACAGATAAGTCGAAAATAATAATTCTGAATTCTATTTCTAAATAAAGGATATTTTTCTTTTACACATACAGACTTGTTTTGTGTAAATTAGTCAGTCTACTAAAAGTATTTAATGAGGATACTTACGTTGGCATATCAAAGAAAGGAGCTGGTCCTATAAGCAGGAATCCTATAGCAACACAGGCACAGCCGATGATCGTCACGTATTTCGGTTTCATTCCCGGCCGATCACATATCCAACCCCAGACCGGAGCCGAGGCCGCGTACACCCCTCCATTAATGACGAACATTAATCCCAGGATCACGGGGGAGAATTCAAACTAAAATATAATGAAACATTATCGGTATTGAAGTCGTCGTGGCCTAAAGGACAAGACGTCCGGTGCATTCGTATCTAGCGATGCACCGGTGTTCGAATCCTGCAGGCAGGTACCAATTTTTCTGTTGAAATACGTATTTAACAATGTTCGCGATTGACTTCTACGGTGAAGGAATAGCATCGTGTAATAAAAATCAAACCCGTAAAAATTTATAATTTGCGTAATTACTGATGGTAGGACCTCTTGTGCCGTGAAGCAGTAATACGTTTCAGTTTGAAGGGTGGGGCAGCCGTTGTATCTATATTGAAACCTTAGAACTCATATCTCATGGTAGATGGCGGTATTTCCGTTGTAGATGTCTATGGGCTCCGGTAACCACTTAACGTAGGTTGTGAGCTCGTCCACCCACCCATCTATGCAATAAAAAATGGAAACTCCATACATATCGCTAATGTTCTAGTTTGGCGTGGATGAACGACGGGTTTACAGTTCAGCTGATGCCAAGCCTACACTGATAAAAACACATGTCTGTGTTAAAGCGAGAGTGGCCAGGACGTTCACAAAATGTTTTACTGGTGGTAGGACCTGTTGTGAGTCCGCGCGGGTAGGTACCACCGCTCCGCCTATTTCTGCCGCGAAGCAGTAATGCGTTTCGGTTTGAAGGGTAGGGCAGCCGTTGTAACTATACTGAGACCTTAGAACTTATATCTCAAGGTGTGTGGCGCATTTACGCTGTAGATGTCTATGGGCTCCAGTAACCACTTAACACCAGGTGGGCTGTGAACTCGTCCACACATCTAAGCAATAAAAAAAAATTAAAAAAATAGTCCCGAATGTTTTTTTTTCCATCAAAACCAAAAGCTATGGTTAGTGAAAACGTGAAACAAGATAACGCAATGAATTTCCTGACGATTCCCAAGCGTGTGCTATTTTGCTGTATACTTGTACTCAATATGTGATTTGAATTTCAATGAAATTTTACTGATTGTTTTCATCGACTCTTCTTCATATTTCCAACTTAGCTCTAGACCAGTGATTCTCAACCTTTTTTTTTGTTGCGGCACATATTTAACGATTTCAAAATTTGGCGGCACACTTTTGACACACACTGCATAAATAGTTTATCAAAAAATTTTAATATACGAAATAAACTAAAATATACTATACATTTTTTTTGTGGATTTAAATATATATTCATGTTTAAAATATTTTTCTTGTAAAATGATATAATTTAATAATATTAACATTATTATATATTCGCAAAATTTGGCGACACACTTTTGAAATTTGGCGGCACACAAAAGTGCCGCGGAACAGTGGTTGAGAATCACTGCTCTAGACCTATTTACGAAAGTTAAAGGCCGTTTCTCCAATGTAAATGACACTACGAGTTAATGTACCAAAGTTTCAAAGAAAAAACTAATTTAAATTGTTAACCTTTTAAAAAGATTTAATGTTTTTAAAAGTTTCAAAAAGACTTGTGAATAATAACTGAAAAGGCGTTTATAATATTCCACATGTTCTATCTATATCTATTTACATAATTTTAATAGTTACCATATGTCATCACTGGCAACACACACTGGTCAATGAGTTTCGTCTTGAGACACTGTGGTATTTGTGATGAGAAGATTTTACGTAACTTTCCGAACGCTGCCCACCCGAGCTGGATTCGACGGTTGACCTCTTTTTCGAAGTTGGACTTACCTAGCTGGACAGTGTGTCCCAGGTAAATATACTCGTCAATAACTTCGAGCGTAGAGCCTCCGATCTTAGGTAGCGTGGGTAGGCCTCCCACAAGGTGGGCCGACGACCTATTGAGGTTCGCGGGGATCCGCTGGATGCAGGCAGCGCAGGACCGGTCTTTGTGGCGAGGCTTGGGGGAGGCCTATGTCCAGCAGTGGACATCCTTGGGCTGATAGAATAGAATAGAAAAAAAATAGTTACCTGTCGTAAGTGAGGCTCTAAAGTCGCTTGAAGGAATCCAATGCTCATACTCGTCGAAATGATACTGATTGCTGACAATAAAACGCCAGGGATCCGCAGCAACGTGAATATCGTAGCTGAAAAATATATTGACGAGTAATTATTACAATACAATTGTACCGTTACTGATGTTATTACATTTATGACCAGCTACCATTCGGGATCTATTCCATGTTCGTTGCTTAAAATGTTTAAACATAAAAAAAGCGGTTTACGGTTTAATAATTTCTATAAAAAATATAAAAGCATTTCCAAAGTTTCTAATAGTTGAGAGTTTTCGTGGTCACGGGCGGCTGTATAAAAACCTGCGATCAATAGTTGTAATTACGTATTTTTTCATCATCATCAGCCTGTAGCAGTCCACTGCTGGACATAGGCATCTCTAATGGTACGCTACTGAGCACGATCCTCGCCTTCTCTAATCCAGCTCTTCCCAGCCATCCTGCAAAAATCGTCCCTTCACCGAGCCTGAGGGCGTTCTGCACTGCGCTTGCCAATTCACGGTCTCCACTTAAGAACGCGTTTACCCCATATGTTACCGGTTGTCCGGCTAATATGGCCAGCCCATTGCCACTTCAGCTTACTAGTTCGCTATGCTATGTCTATAACTTTGGTTCTTTATCTAATTACGTCTACTTAACACTTAACTACAATAAAAGCTCTTTATTCGCGCTGTATATGTTCCGTAAATATGCCGCGAATACAGGAACCGTGAATATGGAATTGTGATTTACATTTATATGGGATTACAGGCGATACGTTCCTAAGAGACAAAATATAAAAGCATCCTTTAGACGTCGTTGTAATAAAGACTATTTTATCTTTTTATTATTCTACTTGACTACGCGCTTACAGATGATATTCGGTTTGATACCTACATATTAGAATCTTTTTTATGAGTGTGTATGTACCGATGTATTAAGATTATTAAGGACATTATCAAGGAGGCCACAAACACCAGCGTCCCGGGCGCCATTAAGCAGGCCGAATGCAGGCAACATTGGAGGAAGCTGGTGCAAAAACTGGACCAAGGTGGTCACGACCCTCAGTAATGAGGAAACAACAAAGAAGAAGAAGAAGATGTACCGATGTACTGATTAGATACGCGAATACAGAAATCTCTAGCGAATACAAGAAGTGGGTCGCATTTATTTAATCCGCGAATAGTGAAAACGCGAATTAAGGAAGCGCGAATAAGGAGCTTTTTATGTAATTTCTTAAAACCCTCAAAAACTCACGTCCGGTGGGCTTCAGGTCTTCGTCGTCGTGGTATGCTGGTAAAGCGAAACAGCTCATAACCGCGGCGCAGAACAGCGCCGAACCAAGCACGGCGAATGGTAGACTGTAGCCGCCTAATCCGTACAGCGCTCCGCCCAGAGTCGGACCAACGATGAGGCCCAAACCGAAAAACGTTTCTATAGACGCCTAAGAGAATCGAAGAGCGAAAATTACGATGACTGTTTTGCTATGGAAATTTAAGCGAGAGCAATATCTACAATTTCTGTCCTTTTTTTATTGCTTAGATGGGTGGACGAGCTCACAGCCCACCTGGTGTTAAGTGGTTACTGGAACCCATAGACATCTACAACGTAAATGAACCACCCACCTTGAGATATAAGTTCTAAGGACTCAAGTATAGTTACAACTGCTGCCCCACCCTTCGAACCGAAACGCATTACTGCTTCACGGCAGAAATAGGCAGGGTGGTGATACCTACCCGCGCGGACTCACAAGAGGTCCTACCACCATTACGCAAATTATAATTTTGCGGGTTTGATTTTTATTACACGATGTTTTTCCTTCACCGTGGAAGTCAATCGTGAACATTTGTTGAGTACGTATTTCATTAGAAACTAGAAAGAACAAAATTTGTTGGGTAATAATGAAATTTTAGATTTTTAAATGAGATTTTAAGTTAAGTTTAAGCTTTTCTGGTTTATGTGAGGCTGTCATGTAAGGTATATAGCACTCTGTTTCTTTTTTTATATGACCATCGGATTCTTGCAATGCCATCATCGCTGGAGTTTCTTTTTTGAAGAATTGTTGTGTATGTTTTTTTTATTGCCTTTGTTGGCAAATCAGCATACGGCCTACGTAATGGTGAGTGGTTACCGTCACCCATGGACTTCAGCAATGCCAGGGGCAGAGCCAAGCCGCTGCCTACCGCTTAATACTCTCCACAAGCCTCGTTTGAAAAAGGACATGTCATAGCGCTCGAGAAACACCGTAGAGCTCATTCCAAAGCTGGATGTTTTTGTCAAACCAATTTTTAATTGTATTTAATACATCATTTCTTCAGATATGACACAAATGAACATCTTTGAGCCTTTGAGCGACTGTCTGTATTCATATCCTGCCGCCGTTAGCAATAAATTCTCTGTACTCATAGAAATTACATGACGAATTACATGTCATATTAAAAGAAAATTATTTTATTATAATCGTTAAAAATTACTTACAAACATGGTGGCAACGTTGTTAGGGAATTCCTTTGCTATTATAGCAAAAGAAGCGGTCAGGAAGGCAGCGTTTCCCATCGCCTCCACGATTCTTATTACAAAGCTGAGCGTTATAAAGGGAACATGGCCTTCTACTCGATCTAGCAAACTAAAAAGAATGCATTCTGTAAAAAGCAAACTAAAAAGAAAGCAACTCTTTTTAACCTCCGTTAATTAATAATTATAATTAGAGTTTAGGTTCTTAACTGTCTAGAAGTATTCAATTTATAATTTACATTTAAATATCATAGTATTATTTAAACTATAGGTACAATTGTAATTTACATACAAGCTTAAATAATTTGGATTAAGTGATTTTTTTCTGTTGAATTTATTTAAATTTTCCGGTAATTTTGTGATGGGTCTAGCCTGATAAGCGATGCTCATTTTTTGGTTTGTTTTCAATAGTATCCAAACTTATTGAGTTAATATTGAGATAATCTTTTAAAGCACAAAGTCACCCATTGTACTCTAATAGTCGCTTTTGTAATGTTGTTTCGCAGTATTTAAAATATATCATACTCTACTCTAGTCCAGCGGCTCTCAACCTTGTGTCACGACACACTAGTGTATTGCAAACACCTTTCAAGTGTGTGTGATTTGCAGAAAGGATATCTTTATCTTTAGCGTCCTAGTGTAAATTTTATCTTTGGGCTACATAGGTGGTGATTATACAACTATTTATTAGATGTTAACTGTACAACTGTAATTAAATAGATGAATTTAGTATCTAATTTTGATGATCAAAAAAATTCACGTAAATATGTTGTAGTGAATTTGTAAAGTGAGTGCGTCGTTGAGTGAAAAAAGTTGAGAGTCGCTGCTCTAGTCTATCTTATATATAAAATTCTCGTGTCACAATGTTAGTTACTGTACTCCTCTGAATCGGTTTGACCGATTTTTATGAAATTTTATATGCATGTTCAGTAGGTCTGAGAATCGGCTGCTATTTATTTTTCATACCCCTAAGTGATAAGGGTTGTCCACCCCTAACATATTTTTTTTGGACAATATTTTTTTATATTCCTTATATATATATTCCCTCATCGTTCACAGCGTTACATCCCTCTTTCAATCACTTACCAAATCCTTACACACTTACAATAAGTTAGTTTTTTTTCTACACTAGAAGTTCCCTAGAAATCCTATATATGGCAAAACAACGTTTGCCGGGTCAGCTAGTTGTTAGATAAAATTTTGATATTCACCCGAACAATATTGCACACGTCCCGGTTGTCAATATGCCAGTATTGAACAGTAGCTTCGGTCCGATCCTGTTAAGATGGGCGCCATAGATGGGGCTCACAATGAACACCACTAACTCGAAGACCCCGAACACCAGTCCATATTCTGTGGCCGTGCAGCCTTTCTTCTCAGCCTGATGATAAATAATATTATAGTATATTTATACGATCTAAGTTTTGCTATGAATATCCTTATTTTGTGATTTCAAAAACTACATTTTATAATATATTTGTGCAGAAAATTTCAACAAATTTATCGATAATGTTATTTTTAGCTAATGATAAATAAATTATTTCTATATGTTCAATGTTTTTTGTTATACGCTAAGTTTGCCCCATATTTTTACGATCCTGGAAATAAAATATAACTTTAACCAGTCGGTACTGTAAAAGTTATTTAGCAAATGACTGGTTTACTTTCAAAGGTGTTTCAAGTTATTGTAGTGGTAGCTTTAATTTCAAACTTTAACTTTTAAATAGAACATTTACTCCAAAAATCGTAGCGTATATTTAGGAGTACTCATAACTCATCTCGACTTAAACGTAGTACTCGTGGTAATTATGCATATAGTATACGTATAAAAAAGTGAATAGTGAGTATGTAAATATAAATCGCACTAGATGTGGTTGGCGCAGTACATTTTGTTATTTTTTTTATTGCTTAGATGGGTGGACTCACAACCCACCTGGTGTTAAGTGGTTACTCGAGCCCATAGACATCTACAACGTAAATGCGCCACCCACCTTGAGATATAAGTTCTAAGGTCTCAGGTATAGTTACAACGGCTGCCCTGCCCTTCAAACCGAAGCGCATTACTGCTTCACGGCAGAAATAGGCAGGGTGGTGGTACCTATCCGTGCAGACTCACAAGAGGTCCCACCACCAGTAAAATAGATCTGCTGTAATTAATTTACTTGGTCGACGCCTGTTTAGCGACAACACTCTTAGGGAACATTAAACCTTGGATAGGCATCGCCTTATAAGCTTTAGTGGGGAGGTTAGATTACCAAATATGGGCATTCCTACAATAAACTGAAGTTGAGATTTTTTTTTCTTTATGGATACAGCCAATCTGATTATGAGTAGTGACATAGCCAAGTCGTTGTCTAATGAATATATTTATAATATGATTTGTAAAGTGTACAATGGGCGATAACACCCCCTTGTGAGCACTGCAGGCCTAAAGGGGGGCGGTAAGAGACCCAGAAAAAAAAGGGGCGTTGTGTAGAGGCTTGGGAGGCGATTTGTAATTTCATCTAAGAGGACTCTTAGATACCGACTGAGCTCTCGCTATAATAGTTTTAAGTGGATGAAAAAATGGGGGCGCTAATAAAGAATTTAAAATGTTTATTCTCAAAGTGGGCAGTAGGCAAAATAAGTTTGGGACCCCTGCACTACGCCAATTAGGTAGTATTTGTAGTAGAGACCGAAGTTGGGTATAAGGGTAGTATGTACTAATATTGTGAATAACACCGCGTCACACAATTGTCATGTATTGTGTGACGATTGTGTGACGTGTGAATTTCGAACATAATTTGACAGTATTCATCATTTATTTTATTATCATTGAATACTAAAAATACAATGTTATCGATGTAATAAGGCGAACGAAAAAAATTTATCAAATGTGTAATTTATTATGCAAATAATTCGAACAAAGCATAGATTACGAAGCGTACGTAATATTATCTATGGATGTCGAATACATTTCTGTCTTGTGTAAACATCTAGAATTTATATTGCTGTCTCGTAATTTTATTATAATTGTACCTTTGTAATGATATACGCTTAGTGCTCTTAGTGCGTTAATGAAATTTCCAGGTAATCGAGTCGGCCATTTTGAAAGATGCGCACAAAAGTGCAATGTCAAATTCGTTGATAAAAATTAAAATTTACGTGCCCATGAACGACTTTGATGATCAAAGAATGATATTTTATTAAATTATAAATTAAATCCAAAAAATTATAAATCTACCTAATTCATCAGTCATAGATAAATATGTACCACCTTGTCTATGTTTTTCGCAAAGCTTCCATCCGTGCTACTTTGAAGCCACTCTTCAATCAATTCGACTGTGTCTCAAAATAGGCCACATTCATGTCGTGGAGTACAGTAATCTCTTAACATCAAACCAGTTCAAAAGATCTATTATCTTCAAAAAATCTATTTTTATTTTATTATTTGTAACCTTTTTAATTACAGTTTTCGTGGTTATAAATAAACGAATAATTTTCGACAAATACATTCATTTATATTTACATTTATTTCCCAACAGAATGAAATAGCGCTCTCTCAGTTTGACGGTTCTTCTGATTTGGGATTTCATCTATGTATATTTTAAAATATTTCCGGCGGTCAGGCAATGTTACGAGACTCAGTCTGGCGACTTACTAACACTAGCCCTAGCAAGGGCAGTGCCTCACTGGATCGGAATCCCAACCCAATGCGAAAACCAGTCCAGGAACTCAGTGGTCTGTGTCCGTGGGTTAATTTTCACGGCGAACCTTTCGTCGCATTCGACGGGTTCGACGAGAACGATGACCGGTGCTTGAAATGTCTAGAAACACCAACAGTGGATCGGGAGGATCCACTGAGGAGCTACTGCTCCTCAGGATTGAGTAAATGTCGTTTTAAGAATGCCACTTCAATTATAAAACGTAATTCATAGCAGCGGGTCTGCGGGTTTTTTTTTCTACCTAAGCTGATAGTCTTGAGAGGGTATATCAGCGTTGCCTTAACTAGTAGGTGAGCTCACGGGGTTCAAACCTGATGACGTTGCTAACACGAACCCTAGCAAGAGCCGTGCTTCGCAGAATCTACCACCGGATCGGAAACGCGACCCAGTTAGAAGATCCAGCGAGAAACTCAGTGGGCTGTATCTGAGGGTGACGCGTCTGCGGAAGTTGAGTTGATTTATACTGAGACCTTAGAACTTGTATGTCAAGGTGGGTGGCATTTAAGTTGTAGATGTCTATGGGCTCCAGTAACCACTTAACACCAGGTAGGATGTGGGCTCGTCCAACCATCTAAGCAATAATACTAAGCATTTTTAATGTACATAAAACACCATAATATTGATAAAATATACAGATAGATGACTTTGCTCGAGAGGTTATCAGGCGTTGCTAGACAAGATATAATTATTAAGTGCGTAATTTCGACTTGCAAAACGTCATTGTAAAGTCAAATTCTTGTCGCGTATTTACCACATTGAATTCCCTTAAATAATTAATCCAAAAATTTTAGTTTTACTTAGTCGAAACTTGAAGAAAAGAACATATAGAACATATCGAGGGGGGAAAGCCTATTTGGTATAAGCGACATTTTTGCAAAACATTTCATGACAGAAAGCTTCTTCAGCTATTCGAATGGATTGGATTGAATTGGAAGTCGTCGTGGCCTAACGGATAAGACGTCCGGTGAATTCGTGTTGAGCGATGCACCGGTGTTCGAATCTCAGGCGGGTACCAAATTTTTGTAATGAAATACGTACTCCACAAATGTTCACAATTGACTTCCACGGTGAAGAAATAACATCGTGTAATAAAAACCAAACCCGCAAAATTTGCGTAATTACTGGTGGTAGGACGTCTTGTGAGTCCGCACGGGTAGGTACGCCCTGCCTATTTCTGCCGTGAAGCAGTAATGCGCTTCGTTTGAAGGGTGGGGCAGCCGTTGTAAGTATACTGAGACCTTAGAACTTGTATCTCAAGGTGGGTGGCACATTACGATGTCTATGGGCTCCAGTAACCACTTAACACCAGGTGGGCTGTGAGCTCGTCCACCCATCGCAGCAATAAAAAAACAAAAAAAAATTGCCTTTCAACCTCTGATACATGAAAATGTAGAGAATCAAATATATTTTTACAGAATTTTAATCTGAATGATTTGGTCTTACTGGTATTGCTGAAGTCCATGGGCGAAGGTAACCACTCACCATCTGGTGGGCCGTATGCTCGTCTGCCTACAAGGGCAATAAAAAAAAAGGGAACTTTCAAACTTGATCGAACTTTTTGAAGTCGGTGACGGTAACGTTGAAATATTTTGTTACATAGATAGATATTTTTCTTTTTTTGTTTTTGCTACTTATCCGCTGGTAGCTTGAGAAGCTATTCCAGGTACACACGGACTGGTAGGTGAGCTCTCGGGCTCAACTTAAGAGTGGCTAACACAAGCTCTAGCAAGAGTAATGCTTCGTAGAATTTACGACCGGATCGGAATCGCGATCCACTGAAAAGATCCGGCGAGAAACTCAGTGGGTCTTAGATATAATACAGATTTACAGGTTTTTTTTTTTTTTTTTTTTTTATTGCTTAGGTGTGAGGACGAGCTCACAGTCCACCTGATGTTAAATGGTTACTGGATCCCATAGACATCTACAACGTAAATGCGCCAACCACCTTGAGATATAAGTTCTAAGGTCTCAATATAGTTACAACGGCTGCCCCACCCTTCAGGCCGAAACGCATTACTGCTTCACGGCAGAAATAGGCGGGGTTGGTACCTACCCGTGCGGACTCACAAGAGGTCCTACCACCAGTAAAAGTAAAGCAAAGTTAAACAAAATCGCTTTAAACTTCAATTCAACTCACCTCTTTCGGATAAAAAGGAGCTTGCAGCGCGACACAGATTGCGTTACAAAAATCAGCTATCCCGATAACGACTATCGTCAGCCACTGTCGCTTAGAAAAATCAAAACCCATCATAAGCTTATATCAGTCCAATAAATAAATAAATGTACACTATTAATCGAAATTCACTTCACCGGCAATTTTTATAATAAGCCGAACACATTTTCCGACGTCCAACGACACAATAAACATAGTGCCAATAATTATTCTGGACACGTCTTGAATTTTACTAGTATAATGTTATTAAATTGTAAACATATAAACTGACCTTTCACCCCATTTCGTAGCGAATGTCCATTGCGCGTTTTGTATGTGGAATTCATAATGTTCGCTTTTGTATAACTCTAACATATTCTGCCCCCAGTAAAATGGTCAATTCTGAGGAGATAACTCGAATACCGAGGGTAGGGGACGAAGAAGGAATGACCGCGTGATTGATAAAATGTAATATCGAGCATAGATAAGTACATAATATTAATATTTTTAATGATCATTAACCATTAACACGCATTTAATTGTTTGATCGAATTGTAAAATACTATCGATGGAGCGTAATAAAAACTTAGTTAGTAAGTAATACATAGTTTTAATAAAACAGTCAATTTTTAGATTCCTCCTGTATCTAAGTAATCGACCAGCCCCAGCTATAGGTTTTTAAATTTTTTTATTGCATAGGTGGGTGGACGAGCTCACGACCCACCTGATGCTAAGTGGTTACTGGAGCCCATAGACATCTACAAAATGCCACCACCCGCCACCATTGAGATATGAGTTCTAAGGTCTCAATGATTTGAAGGGTGGGCTGCCCGGTGGGCTGCCCCACCCTTCAAATCGAAACGTATTACTGCTTCACGACAGAAACAGGTAGGGTGGTGGTACCTACCCGTGCGGGCTCACAAGAGTTCCTACCGGTAGTTACGCAAATTATACTTTTGCGAGTTTGATTTTTATTATACGATGTTATACCTTCACCGTGGAAGTAAATCGTGAACATTTGTTAAATACGTATTTCATTAGACAAATTGGTACCCGCCAGCGGGATTCGAGCACCGATGCATCGCAAGGTACGTATGCACCGAGCGTCTTATCCTTTAGGCCACGACGACTCCAAACACTGTGTTCACCATCCTGCCGTAGCAGTGGTGTTCTTACCTTAGTTTTCTTCTTTTTCTTTCTTCTTAATACATATCTATCTTTGTAGCGGATCATTCTTTTGATTCGAAAGATATGGAAAATTACCCATTCATGGAAACCCCATTACGATCGAGACTTCGATCTCAATTAAATCGGTTTTCTTTGTGGTTTTTTATTCAGGCCGCGGAGTAAGTAGTAATTTATATTTTCTCACGCTTTACATTCAATACTTCTATACGAATATTACATGCGTGAAAAGTTGCATTGTGGTTCGTACGATGCTTGCTACTCAATCAAGCAAAAATGGCCGATGGCAATTGCGATGAATTCAGCACAAAAATGGTTTATAACCTAAATTAGCGCATAGGATACTTTTTATAATTATTAATCACGTAGTCCGGGCAATACCGGGTATATTAGCCAAATGAAATATGACAGTATATTCTACTGGTGGTAGGACCTCTAGTAAGTACGCGCGGGTAAGTACCACCACCCTGCTTATTTCTGCAGTAATGCGTTTCGGTTTGAAGGGTGGATCAGCCGTTGTAATTATACTTTAGAACTTAGAACTTATATCTCAAGGTGGGTGACGCATTTACGTCCTAGATGTCTATGGGCTCCAGTAACCACTTAACACCAGGTGGGCTGTGAGCTCGTCCACCTATCTAAGCAATAAAAAAATTCGTTGATTCGGTCTCTGATTTCACGTATCAACGAATTTACAAATCGACTTGTAATTTATGGACTAGAGAGTGAGATGAGTAGTTTTTATACCAGGAAAATTCGACGCATTTAATTCTTTCGGAGTAAGGAAATTAGCGCGAGCCAAACCGCGACGCACTTCTAAGTTCTAAGCAAATATGAACCGGGCTTCTGGTGGAATCTTTGCGATCTAAACCTCAACTACGTATATATTTAAGTCGATGCCAAACAAATTTGTCTTAGATTCGATTGTTGCAAACTGTCTCATGAATCCTTATCAGTAGACTGGGATCGCATAGGTCAATGGCGGAGACATCAGCGCCTAATTATCAAGAACCATTCCGTAATTAATCCGTATCACTACATGAATGCGATCGGCATTTATTTTTAAAGTACGAAAAATCTGTTACTACAGTAATAATTACGTTCCATTAAATTTGTTTTATCGTCTGTTGTAAACAGTTTTTTTTTATCAAATCATATCGCATATTTCAATGTCCCCAAAACGATTGTGTTTTGTACAATGGCGCATATGATAGAGTATACGACGTACTGGCTATAACCATTGGTTTCCTGTAAACTTGACAGTTTATTAGTCTACCGACAGCCATGGACGTCTTCTGCAATAGTCTGGTTATGATACCCTAACGATAAACCCACCTACACAGTAATGACTTCATTCATATAAACCCAGCTACACAGTCATGACTTCATTTTTTAAAGCAATTTTTAAGCTATTGCATAGCTTTTATCGCGGGCCTTGAGCGCGGCGACCGAATCATGAAATTCCGTAACGAAAAAAACCTTACATCCCTCACTCCGCCTACCATGCAGCTCGCGTTCAATACACTCACACGTTGCGCTTGTGTAGTGTTTGTGAATAAGCGCGTGGCGTGACGTCACACTGCATGCACATCAAGAAAAGTCTGCCCATCTCTCTCTCGAGCGGTCTAGCTTATGAGTGTGAAGGGGACAGTTAAGGTTTTGCTTTTATTAATGTTTAATATAGCGTGGTCTTGTTTTATTATCGTTTTAATATTAAATTATCATTGTCTAATTATAATTGCATAAGTTGATAAAAAATGCTATGCAATAGCTTTACCGCGGCAGTTCCCGAGTGCCACACGTTTTTTTTTTCATGTCATCACACCGCCGAGTATTTCCTATGTTAATCCAGTTGACTTTGCTTTATGATCTCTTTAGATATGCTCTAAACGTTAAGCTAATTTAAAATCCCATAAACATTCCAATTGATTAACAGCGGCAAATTTTCCCGTGAAAATAGAACGTGTTTTGGCCATTTTGAAATAACTGTTTTAAAGCCAAAACAAATCATTTCGAATGAGTAACGTGACCATTTATTTTTCGTTCGTAAAATTTGAGTTACTTTAGTATGTATTTTGTAATACAATAAGAATTTGGGATAAGTAAGTATTCGGAAGTTTCTAATAAACACATGCGCAACAGAAGCAGGACAATCCCGCCCCAAGCGGGACGTATGGTCACGTCAACGATTGACTTCCACGGTGAAGGAATAACATCGTATAATAAAAATCAAACCCGCAAAATTATAATTTGCGTAATTACTGGTGGTAGGACCTCTTGTGAGTCCGTGCGGGTAGGTACCACCACCCTGCCTATTTCTGCTGTGAAGCAATAATACGTTTCGGTTTGAAGGGTGGGGCAGCCGTTGTAACTATACTGAGACCTTAGAACTTATATCTTTGGGGTGGCGCATTTACGTTGTAGATGTCTATGGGCTCCAGTAACCACTTAACACCAGGTGGGCTGTGAGCTCGTCCACACATCTAAGCAATAAAAAGAAAATTAATAACCCATGAGACTGAATTATGAAATAACAGGCTGAAAATAATACTTGGGAAATTCGTAATAGTCTATATGCACATATATACCACATATATATGTAATGTAATGGTCGACGTGTGTATATCTGTTCCTTATACTTGTAGACTCCGAAACGGCTAGACTGATTTCGATAAAATTCTCAAGAAACCTTTATATTGGCATAGCGGGGTGACTATATGAAGCTTGGTGGAGATCAGATCAAAATCAATTCAAGACCTTCCAGCAAACCGGCTTGCACTAATTTATTATTTTAAATTTGTCTTCTGTAACCAGTTAACGACGAACAAACAAACTTAGTATTAAAAAGAAACGTAATATACATTTTACATAATAGTTATCAATCGCAAGACAAGTTTATGGTCCTTTTATTTGAATGCAAATGTAAGTTAAGCTACAAATATTATCTGGTCCGCAAGCCATGAAGCTTAATCTAATGATGTCCCACGGTTCCTTACGTATAATGTAAACATAAGTATAGGAGGGGAGCCCTCAGGGATGTCGAAAAACGCTGGCTAATAAAACCCATGGCTCCTTGCTTTCACTTTAAACAAAATGAGACGCGCGCTCGTCCCGTCGACCGACCACGGACCTATTGCCAACTAGTCAGTCGCCCAAGAACGAACGCGCGCGAAATTCGAACAACTGTCAAATAAAAAAATAAAAAATCGAACATAAGTTTAAAATTGTGGATTATCTATGTCGACCGATGATTGAATAAGAAAAGTCCACTGGTGTTTTTTTCTAGTTTTTGTTAATTGAATTAAAAAAAAAAATAGGTACGATGGCTGGCCCTTTGATGCTGTCTTTCATTATATTGTGCTTGAGTGTGATATGTCACAATGGTGAAGCTGCGGAAAACGAGAACGCTCTAACGGCAACGCGTAAGTTACGTAAAATATATTTATGATAATATAAAATTGCAAAATCAGCTTTTACATTCCAAATAATAATATTAAAAGTAAAATTAAATATATCTTTGTTTGGTTTACACAATTATTAAAAAATATTTATCACTAAGCACAGCAACAATAATAATAAATGTCGAGATAAAGACAAACTAAGTATGCTATGTCTTATAAAATATGAGTTTTTAAAAATTGCATTAACACTAATTGAGCTAAAATTAAATTCATTATCATTTAAAAAAAAATAAGTTGTCAAATATAGACAATAAGAAAGATATTGCTTATTAAGATAAGCATAATTATTAAACAATTAAAACATTATTATTAAAATTGTATAGCGCATCGCAACAACGAATTTTTTTATTTTATTTTAGTATCGACTTCGTTATACATTATTTTGTAACATGCACAGATGCTATTGTTATAAATTATCTTTATCGTTTTCGCGCCAAGATACACATTCATTATGGATATTCATAAATTAGATCTAGATATATAAAGAAAATCAGAGACAGTTCTTCGTTATGGAAATTATCTTCCAAAGCCTTTTTATTTTCATCATAAAATATTGATATGTATATGAAAATGTACCGCACGGGTAGGTACCACAACCCTGCTTATTTCTGCCGTGAAGCAGCAATGCGTTTCGGTTTGAAGGGTGGGGATACCGTTGTAGCTATCCTGAGACTTTAGAACTTATATCTCAGGGTGGGTGGCGCATTTACGTTGTAGATGTCTATGGGCTCCAGTAACCACTTAACATCATCCATCCAAGTAAAAAACAAAATGTTAAAAATAAAAATAGTTTTATAGGGAATTATTCAACTATACTATCGTTGGCCATAGAGAACAACAAAGATACCGATACCTACTTTATTACATTTTTTTATTTACTACATATAGTATTTTGTAACTGGCTATTATCTAAAACAAACGCGTTATAGCCCGGGACAGAAAAAGGCGCAATGTTTATACCAACATGGAATTTAGATGGGATTAGTTCTATTTATGCCTACTCTTTTGTTGTACGAATAGACCGACCCACATCCTGCCTAGGCGACAGGGATAGGCTAGATAATGATCTTTACTTATGTTTACAATACGCTCTACCTCGTACGAGGCTACAAAGGGGCAGGAAAATTATTTACTACTACTACTACTAGCTAGCTACCGTTAGCTAAAGGGTTATTATGTTATTATGCTCATGTATTTTTTTTGTTTGTCTAAAATCAAAATAAGTACAAATGCATATGTATATGCATATATGTAGCATAAATACGTAAAAAGCATGTTTTAGACAAAGATTTCCTATGTGCATTCGGAAATATTGGCGATAAATATTCGAAAGGAAGACATGGTATGTAGTCTCTCACGAAAATTTCGCAGCACAATAGTGTTGATAATGCAATGAAGACTAACTTTACTGTTCAAGACTAGTGATGGCAAACACGTACTATAGTATCTACGCACAATTTGATTTGATCATTAAATCTATTTCCTCGTATACTTACTAATTATGAGCACACGTACAATAAGCAACATCTTCACAATTCGAAGCACGCACGTTGTATACGACCTATACAATTAGGCTACCGCGCTTTGTATACCATTTTCGTTCAATGAGAACTATCAAGGTTATTTAGGCGTATGTGTTTCGAGTTCTGAAAAGAATATAGCTGTATGGTCCGTCAATGATAGTCCGTCAAGTCGTCGTGGCCTAAGGGATAAGACGTCCGGTGCATTCGTGTTGAACGATGCACCGGTGTTCGAATCCCAGGCGGGTACCAATTTTTCTAATGAAATACGTACTCAACAAATGTTAACGATTGACTTCCGCGTTGAAGGAATAATAACATCGTGTAATAAAAATGAAACCCGCAAAATTATAATTTGCGTAATTACTGGTGGTAGGACCTCTTGTGAGTCCGCGCGGGTAGGTACCACCGCCCTACCTATTTCTGCCGTGAAGCAGTAATGCGTTTCGGTTTGAAGGGTGGGGCAGCCGTTGTAACTATACTTGAGACCTTAGAACTTGTATCTCAAGGTGGGTGGCGCATTTACGTTGTGGATGTCTATGGGCTCCAGTAACCACTTAACACCAGGTGGGCTGTGAGCTCGTCCACCCATCTAGCAATAAAAAAAAAGAAACGAAAAAGCGAATTTTCCGGCTAAAACTAATCACTAATATGACGTCTAAAGCGACCGTCTAGAAAACCGAATGTAAACAAAATCGATTATTCATTCACTTATTTAGATATGTATATTTGTTTTCATTACTTCAGATTTCGTCAGCCCGCCATGTAACGCTAAGTCTTCATACAGATGCATCTACCTACCTTCCATTCTTGTTAGTGCATAGGAGTACCTAGTTAGAAAAATCGGAATCTGCTTGCGGGATTTATGTATCGGAATTGTCTTAGCTATTATTGTATTAAAAGAAGCGGATGAGACATACTAAAAGTACATTACGAACGATTCTTTTTATATTGCAATTTTTGTCTCGTCTCCTATTTCTGACGCTTTATTCGATGATAAGTCTTTCATATTTATAAACACGTTAAGGCCAACTTAAAGGTCTTCAAAGTTTCAATTGAAAAAACTTAAACACAATACACATTAATCTCTTTGACATCTTGTGACGGCAGCCAGACGTTTTAACCTTGGCAACAATACTTGCGTCAACTTTTGCGATATGTCGTCTTGACCTCCATCGCCATAGGGGTGATGCACGGGAGCCTTGAACGATTTAATTCAACAGTGGCCAATGATTTATTACTTAAATATTACACAAGGAAAGAGCATTGGGCAATGTTATGCAAAATGGATTTAATTATACGGAAAAAAATTCATAAAGAAGAACCCAGGTCAATGCTGTTGAGTTTAAAAAAAGGGTTTACGCATTATTCAAATTAGCTGTTGATAAATGTAGCCAGTAAAATGAAGGTTTTTGGTGCAATTTTAATAATTAATTCACGTAGTGGCTGTCAATGGACAAAAAAAAAAACTTTTGCTTTCATCCGACTGCGAATAAGGAAAGAATGTTAAAAAATTCGGTCGTGTGTTATACTGCCAATTCATTTTTTGCACAGATAACCAGATTGGGGGTTATCTGTGATTCTTTTTTACCAACATTTCTTGTAGACTTGGTAGGCAGCGGCTTGGCTCTGCTCCTGGCATTACTGAAGTCCATAGGCGACGGTAACCTCTTACCATCAGATGGGCCGTATGCTCGTCTGCCTACAACGGCAATAAAAAAATACTTATGTTCGACAAACAAGTAAAATTGATATTTTTTAAAAAATAGTTTGTTTTGATGGTATTAAAATAATTAAATCCGTAAATTTTAATAGATTAATAGATAAAGTTTTCGTTCTCTTACTATATTATTATATTATATTTAATGCAAATCAAATTAACAATAACTGTGCGTTTTGTTTGTGAAAAAATCTATTATGCTGGATGTGCCATTATTATAATGATTTATGATTGAACTTAATGACACCAGAGGTCGCGAGGGTAGTTCGTTTACCTTATTATCATATCGCTTTATAGATATTAATGAGCGCCATAAGTGAATTGATACTTTTGTTTATCTAAGTATGTTGAATTGAAATAAGTTTAGGCAGATGTACATATTATTAAAAATGATAGAGGGGATTTAAAATTTTAATACGTTAATTGCCATTTGTGTTTGTGTATCAGTGCAGGCTAATTTTCATATTGACTGAATCAACCTGAATGTGCTTTTCGAAGATGCATTGAAAGCTAACGAGTAACATTTGAGTTTGATTCAAGTTTAATTGCTAATTAAATATCATACGACTATTCTCTGCAGAAAATTCATATCAGAAGTTTTTGGCGAGAGTTGAAGCCGAATTTTTTAATTTTTTTTTATTGCTTAGATGGGTGGACGAGCTCACAGCCCACCTGGTGTTAAGTGGTTACTGGAGCCCATAGACATCTACAACGTAAATGCGCCACCCACCTTGAGGTATAAGTTCTAAAGTCTTGAGTATAGTTACAATGGCTGCCCCACCCTTCAAACCGAAACGCATTACTGCTTCACGGCAGAAATAGGCAGCGGTGGTACCTACCCGTGCGGACTCACAAGAGGTACCACCAATATTCGATTTTAACCAAAAAAAGTAAATATTAATTTGTCTACTTTTGGAAACTACATGAAAATTCGTATAAAAGTTCCGAAGGTGAGCTTCGAGCAAGTTTCAAACAAAATACAGACACATCGGATTTTTCTGTTGTATTATATGCAACAATGATACTATATAGTTATTATATAACGCATTCAGAAACACGAAAGACTCCGCTCTGTACTAGCACATGATCACATTACTTCATAAAGACGAGACAGATTGGTTTCACAACTCGCTCCAAAGAAAATGTGTTGGCAACATTAAGTACATTGCTATTACACAGAATTCACTCGAGTTTGCTACTGGCGAGTTCCAAACCATAATTATTTGGGCTACGTTGGTAATGTAAAATGCAAGTGTGTTAATTAAAATTAGTTGATTACGTCAAAAGTTTTGTTCTGTAGGTTTATATCCCGCTTTGATTAGTCCGCCAGAATCTTAATCTATCAATCCTGTTCGTGCTCTTAAATTAACAATAATTTTAGTAATATCTAGCATCCATCTTTTCTTCCCTTTTACTCTTAATTGTTTGAGTAACTGGTCAAAGTTTTGTCGCATCGCTTATAGATGCCCAATACTAACCCCCGATTTCATATATTACTTTTGTAGAGTATTTACATATTTTTTTTCGGAGAATAGTTATTTTGTGAACTCTAAAGTAGAGCTTAGCAGAGCGTAAAGTATAGTTTGAGATCCCATAATTCTCCCTAAAGTCGTCAAAGAAAAAGTTAGAATGTGCATAAGTTTATTCTTTCGTATTTATTAAATTCAATAGAAAAAAGAAAATGCTTCGAAAGCGTGTCGCCTATAATTTAACGATAATTT